ATTAGCATTGCCTCGTGAGCCGTTATTTATACTGCCTTTACACTGCGTTTCGTGTTGCTTGCTGCACCGGAACTGACAGCATTAAAGAAATAATTGAATGAACCTTTATTTTATAGTATTTTTTATTTATATTTTGCTTAATAATTCTATATCTGACAAAGAAGTTGGATGCATGCTATATGCGTTGCGTGTTGCGCACTTCAGCCTAACTCCATTGTTAAAAGAAGCATTGAACGACCTTCATGTTAAGTTATGGTTGGTTCATACTCTATTTAACGGGTCTGTGTCAGATAAAGAGATTAACATATGTAGAGTCGAAGACATGCAAGGATCAAAATAGCGAGTTCTGATTCTCCTGCAGAACCGGTGAGAAGCAAGAAACAGTCAGGAGAGGTCATTTCCTGACTGAAATTCAAATTGCCCTCGTTTCGAGTGCAGATAAATTATTGCTGTATCTTCATTTCATTGCAGCTGGTGCAATATTATGCCGTGTTATTTTCTTTCTTTGTTTAGCTATATACTCTGATGCAGCAAAATGTAATTCACATGATTGTATGTTGGGTTTAGGTGCGTTTCGAAACAGTCGAAAACCTCCTCATAATGTTGTCATCTCTGTCCGTAAATAACAGAGGAAAAACCCCAATAGATTTTACTAAAATTCGGTATGGTTTAGTTTGGTTCATTTTAATGACCACTTTATTTAAAGTGCCCCAATAAATGAAATGGAATGAAATGTCTTAACATACCAAGAACCACACCGAAACAGCACCTAAAAACTGGTATGAGACAACGGCATACGACATACCATGGCACTCCATAACCAAGTGGATTCCAACAGCTACCGCTAATATATATATATATATAGAGCCGGGAGAGCTCAGTCGGTATGGCTACGTGCTGGACGACCGACGGCTCGGAATTCGAGTCTCGGTAGGATCAAGAATTTTCTCTTCTCCACGTCGTCCAAACCGGCTCTGGGGTCCACCCAGCCTCCTATCCATCGGGAGCGCTTTCCCTGGGGGTAAAACGGCCGGGGCGTGAAGCTGACTACTCACCTCCAACTATTGCCAAGGTCAAGAAAACGTTGCTCTGTACATCCACTCCCCCATACGTCTTCGTGGCGTAGTGCTAAAATTAGTTAAACATAAGGACAACTGTACCTTTTACGGCTTGTATGTACTAATTTTAACATAAAATTAGTAAGGCGACGTAAAGTTGTCCCCGTGGATCAATGCGATACGTGTTTCTTATGCTTTATATGCGTAAAACTGATTTCGGGATAATCGATTGATAGATATGTTCTGGCTTTGGTTTACTTTTTAAAACAGTAAATTTGTTAAACATAACATAGTAGCACCGCCCTCTTCTGTGTGGAGCGCCCAGAATTCGGAAATTACTGATGTATCAGCACTGCATGCAGTAATGATGCAAACAGTGACAAGATTAAAGAGGATTTTTAACACATTATAGCCCATTGCTGTGGAAGGCCCTGTGGAATTTCTAGCTACAGACGTACGTAACCGCTTTATGACGTAATTTATTTGCAATGCAGTAAGAATTATTTTTAGATGACACGTGATCTTGCTAACGAATTAATTTACGACGAATATTATCCTCTCCAGCTCGTCATTAGACAGCGCTGGGTTATTGACTAGTTCCGAACCTTTGTTAGATATTTGATGAAACTGATATTTTATTCTAGTGGCCTCCTGTTGCCTTCTGTTGGCAATATAAAATGCGCAACGTCAGAGCGAAAACACTTCGTTGTAGTGCTTGTTTTTTTAAATGTTCGTTGGCGTGAACATTACGTGAAACGCGGACAGAAAACTGCCCAGGTTGAGTGAGTAATCAACATGGGTGTCGTCGGCGACCTTGTTCTGTCCCTGCCTCAGTGCTGTGAGCAAAGATATAGCTTGTCGAATGTTACTAAACATGGAACCTCTCTAATGTGATTATACACGTATTATTTTGTAACGTTTCATCAGCTGGAAGGTTAAATAGCATTATTAGGTGTATAAGTGATGGCAAAAATTGAAGTGGGAGGAATAACATAGAAAGTATTCACCTGGCTCGATCGAGGAAAACCACGATAAATCAGTCTCAGTAGCCAGTCTCGTGGCTGGGAATGGGTCCGAATAAGTGAAGTCAGTTGCTGTACAATAAAGCCAGACCTATTCACTCTCATAGATTCTGTGGGACTATAGCATGTTGAAAGTGACTGAGAATGTGAAGTCGGGAAACCCAGCCAGAGTTGTTTGTCTTCTTCCAAGGTACACTGATTAGTGCTTGAACGGTTGGTTGGTCAATACCTAATTTTTCTTCACGACTTGCAAGGTGTACTTATGTGTATAGATAGAAACATGAATGTGTAATTTGTTTACAGTAAACCAAGTTTGTCCTCTGCTGCTCATACTCGTAGTTACAGATGCTGTGAATACAAATACATTTCCCAGTATCAGTACAAATGTGCTTATTGTTTTGTATGGGTATTTAACTTGGTTTCTTAGATCGACGAAGGCACGTAGATTGAGGTGCTTCGACATTAGGGCGCTGAAGAGAATGAGAGGGAATAAGGGAGTAGGACGCCAGGGTAATTTGTATAATGAAGATGTTAAGTTTTTACTTTTCACCAAACTATCATTGTAATACAATCAAAGAGAATGAGGGAGTTTGGGTATGTAGCATGCATGGGCATTCCACACAACATTTTAGTCTGAAAATCTGACAGGAGGAGAATATTTGGAACTTTTAGGCCCAGATGTATGTACAGTATATTAAAAGTGGATCTTGAAGAAATAGGCCATAAGGCGTGGGCACCGCCAGAAATTTTTCTGAAGGGTGCAATCAGGAAATTTGGATATGAACTTGCGTTTAAGCTGTTTTCGATTTGTTCCTAATGGACGCTCTAGGAACAGTGTTTCTCAACCCCCGGGCCGCGGCCCGGTACAGGGCCCTGGCATCAATTATACAGGGCCCACGTCTTATAAAACAAGAATTTTCCGGGCCGCGGTCTACAAAGGCTGAGAACCATGCTCTAGAGCAGGGGTCTCCAAACTTTTCGAACCGCGGGCCACATTAGGTAATTCAGCACTTTCAACGGGCCGGATAAAATGAGAAATTAATAACTCTAGGTATATGAGTTTTATTGAAAGCACAGAATTTCATAAACTAAATATAAAGTACGTGGGAATAAATTATCGTATATTAATGACAACAGACAGTAGCAGCAAATGCTCATATTTTCATCACAAATTATAATAAAACAATTAATGTGAATGATGGAACTCTTTTTGCATTCTTAAAATATGATTAAATTGAGGTTCAAATTTTGAAACGCTAATCACAAGTAGCGACTTTAAATGTTCATCGGATAAATTTGCCCTGTATTTGGACTCGATATACTTCATCTGGGAAAGAAGTTTGTTCACACAGATATGTCGTCCCAAAAACGGAGATAAATTTACAGGCAAATTTCTTTAAATTTGGAAATTGCTCAGAGTTCAGAAATTTATAAAATTCAATCAAATTTCCTTCCTTGTATTTGTCTTTAATATGATAATTTTCCCGAGTTCAATAATTTCCATTTGAATTTGACTTGTGACATCTGCAGCATCACAGTCAAACGGATTTTGAAACAATTTAATTTCCTGAGCACTGGCATCCAAATCAGCTAATCACTTCCGAAATTGTTCTTTCAAATCTGAAATGACTAAATTTGCAAATGAGGAACGAAATTCAGCTTCACCCTCTTTATGCAGCTGTGCACAGTATAGCATATGAACAAAGTTACAATTTTTCACTTGGCTTTCCAGAAGTATCAACTTTGCTCTGAATGCCTTGATAAGTGCAAATAAATCACAGACTAAGTTATTTTCATCCTGCAACTTTAAATTAAAATTGTTCATATGGTTCACCAGATCAGCAAAAGATGCTAATTTCCAAAGCCACTCGATATCTGATAAAAGTTGTTGTGAATAATATTTACATAATATGGAATATCAATATATTTTAAACACAATCTTAATTAATGAATTTGAAATCTATGAACAAGCATTTTTTTATCAGTACTCATTGGAAAATTAGTTCAATTGGCGCATTTCTGCACAATTCTTTCTCGGGCCGGATGTGGCCCGTGGGCCGTAGTTTGGAGAGCATCAAGGGGAGAAGAGCGCTTTTTTTTAGAAAAAGGATTTTAGTACGGGTTATTAGTATTTGGTGTATTTTGCTTTTTCCATTTTGCTTCTTCTCCGGTAGTTGGAGGGGACGGATGCTTGACTTGCTTTCCCTCCCTTCCAGCATTCGTGATTTTGAGAGTGCAGATTGGATTCATCTGGCTTTGGATAGGGACTGTTAGCGGCTTCTTGTGAACACAGCAATAAACCATAGGTTTTATACAAAGCAGAGAATTTATTGACTGGATGAGCAACTGTTAGCTCCTTGGTTCCATGGAGTTAGTTGTTTAATTCATATTACCACTGGACTTCAAAGACGTACAAATAGAGTATATTGCTCAGCAGAGATCGTAAAATGTTTGCTTGCTTTCCAGTGGCAACCAAAACATTTTTGTTCTTATCAGATTTCACACTTGGGGTTTGAAAGTTGCATTTTTGGAGTTCTGGCAATCACAGATCTCTGTTTCAAATCATTATTTTTTTTTTCAATTGTCGTATACATAGCCTACGAGTCTTTATGACAATAGAAATAATCTTGGGCTATTCCGTGTCAAATAAACACATGGAAGAATCATTTTCAACGTTTCCTTCTCCGATTTCAATGATTTATGCTTCAACTAGGCGCAAGAGGCAAAACAAAGTACAATAAAATATGAATCAACACTATTCTGGCAACTAGAGTGTTTGTCTGGTTACCAGATTTTCGAAATTTTTTTGACCCCTACTGCTGAATATTAAATTGTTAAATTTAGAACCATAATATGTTTTAGGGTTTGAAATCAGTGAGTAAACCTTTCTCAATGTTCTTTTATGTCTTCTTTTAATCAGATGAATGAGGCTGGTGATGGATCCACTTGGCATGGTAGCCGAGGTCGTGGAATTGGAATCCCTGAAACGATGGCACCAAATCCCACCAGTGCACCACCTCACAGACTACAGTGCCATAGGAGAGGAACAGAAGCATACGACCAGTCCCTTTCCCTTCGACCCTGTAATCAATGACAAGATAGCATTATGGTATGTACTTATAAAATTATACTTTAAAGTACCTTTGGTGCAGTTAAGGAGTTAGATTAAATTTAGGCTACAAAACATGTATATTGTAATAGAGGGGACCTGCTGTTAACTTGGACTAGAGAAATGTACTTGTAATTTGTGATAGCTGCTTTTCATTTATTGTAAATCATAGTACTTACAGTGGATTTTTAGTAGGGTCTTAACCAACCTCCCTGGTGTCATCAGCCTTGAACTTATCCCACTGTTTTTATAATTACTTTGAACTGTGCTCATCAATCCTACTCTCTCATATCCCTGAACAATTAAACAAATTGCAAGGAGCAGTAACCCAAGTGTTTTATACTTGCACATTTTTGAAGTAGTCCTTTTCTCCATTTCACCACTTAAAGCGTTATGTTGATAAGCTTCTCAAAAGATAAATTTGTATACAAATATAACTTTCAGGATAATAACAGTTACTGTGATATCAAATTTGACACATATGAAAGGGGCTTAATTTCTTTCGGTTTCACATTACCACACTTTCAGAAACCATATTTGTTGTTTCTCATACTTAAGGCACTAGATGATACAGATTTTATGATTTTTATAAACTTTTTGCTCCTAGTCTGCTGTCTTTATGTCTCTTATATGCATGTGCTCATTCATGTCTGTGCAGTAATACCAGCCTTGGCTACTTTCTGAGGCATTTTTGTGAGACAGAAAATACAAGGGAGATCATGTCAGTCACACTCTTCATGGGCAGGATTTCATTAAATTTTATGTTGGAAGCCTATAATGTAAGCTCAGACAGTGTTGGTTAACAGCATGGCCATCATTCTGTTTTAAGACCTAAACTAAAAATTTTTGTTTATTGTATTTGATATTCCCAAATTAAAAAAACAGGAAATTAAGAAAATAGACAGTATTTCCTGTTGTGAACTATTTATAAGAAATGTGGTAAAAGAGTGATTAAAACATAATTAATGTGTACATAGGTAAGTGCCTTATGCATGTATAGTTCTCTTGAATAGTGGCCTATGTTAAGAATTTTGTATTGAGCATGGGTTTTATATAGACAGTTCTGCTGGGATCTGAAGTAAGATTTTCAGGAATATCTTATTCAGTTAAGCAAAGACAATGACTTCTTGTTGCAGAGGATAATGTTATAGATTGGTTGCAAATATGTACTTAATGTTTATATGAAGTACTAACATGTAAAGAAAAGCTGTATCATTTTGATATTAGAACACCTTTGTTTGAATGGGTTATATTTAAACTCCTCTGATCCACAGTACAACAGTATATATATTTTAGATTTAAACCCTGCAGTAACAAGCTGGAAGGAGTGTATGTATTGTATGAATACAGAACTCCCAGTGACGATTTTGCACTATATTAAGGTTGCTTATGTCCAGTTTATAGTCAGTGTTTCAGCAAAATACAAAATATATTAGATGAAGGACCAGAATTCATAGTATTTCAGCAGCATAATCATGTAGAGTTTTGAAATATAGCAAAATCTGTGAAACATCAGGGTGTGTAAAAGCGTCCATTTATGATCTTGTATAAATTAGGCTTTGTAATCAGTTAATATGGCTAAAAATCACGATGGTCAACTAACATCATGCCAAGATTTTTCATATCAAATTTTGCGAAAATTAAAAGAACAGTTTATGATATCAGCATGGTTAAACATCAAAATTGCTGGTGGACATTATGCACAGATCTTGCATGTTGAATGTAACAATAATTTGATTAATGTTTCGTGATGTATGCATAAAAGTTCATTTGTGACCTTATGTAAGGAAAGCTTACAAACGTTGAACATAGGTCTCACATATGAAATTTCACCAGAACTTGACTATTAGTTTATGATATACGTGAAAAAGTTATTTATGTCAGTATGTAAAATACACAGTTGGCCGGTATGACTAAAAATCAAAATGGCAGATTAATATTATGAATACATCTCTCATATGAAATTTTACTAAAATGTTATTAATGATAAATGGTAAAATGTGGCTGAAAATTGGAATTGCCTGAGGAGTTTTAGTGAAATTTGACAGTAAAGTTTAAGAAAAATCTGTGCAGCAGCTCGTACTAGGCTGGAAGACAGATTGACATGACTTCTACATAAGTTTTTTTTTTTTTTTGCTTTGTAAAGAATATGTAGGAATGCATTTCCTTTTACTTTCACTTTCATGGTAGCAGGAAAATTGAAGGAAATTCTCAATTATTTTTATGCTTTGTATGAACTTGTCAATTTTATCTGTAGGACAGGAGATATTTCTTGTCTGTCTGTGGATGCCATTGTAAACTCTACCAACGAATCTTTGACAGAAAGGAATCCAGTAAGTGACAGAATATGTGCCAGAGCTGGACCGGCACTTAAGGAGGAGATTTGGCAGGAAGTGAAGGGTGAGTGAATGTTAGAGCTTTGGTTAGTAACATCTTTTTGTAAATAAGTATCTAACATTTCTTATTAACACTGTGACTGCTATTGAAATAAGACATTGTGTGGTAATAGCTGTGGTAACTTTCCTTCATGATTGTAATTGTGTATACGATTAACAAACTTAATTTTTTACAATAGCTTTCTCTTTTTTGGTAAGAACTATTCTTGTAATGCCATATATTGAAACTAAATGCATCAGATGACAAAGCGGTAAATAAGTGCATTTATATTTGTTTGTCCAGTGGCCACATTTCATTACCATGAACTGTGGGATGTGCCAGACGTGAAATAATCAGATTGGATGAAGGTAACAAGTTTATTGTTTTAATTCAATTTGCTACCAAAATCAGTTGATGGTAGCATGTTTTTAATGTGCTGAAAGACTGAGCCATTTACTCTGTTATCTGTGTTATATTGTATAATAAGAAGGTAGGAATAAAGAGCTTAATGAGATAATCAGCTCAGGCTTAAAGTTTGTGCGTCATTTGGTTTTGTGGCATAGTATATACTCATATCTTATTACAATGAAACAGCATAGAATAGTTGCCATTGTGATCTGATATCATGAAGTCTGAATAAAGTCTTCACTGATTTTTAAAGGTCATGGAGGAATGTAACCATCATATATGTGAGTAAATTTTGACTAATAATGTGCTGTTAATTGGTGATTGGTAATGTGAGACTGAAGTACTACTAATATTTAGAAGATGTAAAAAATTAAGACTGAAATTTCTGAAAAATAATTTGAAATGTGTGGCTTGTAGTAACATGCTGTCAAAAGGACACAGAAAAGTGCAGTGCAAGTCAGCACATAATAGTTATGAGGCTGTGTGATAGTGGTAGAAATGGAAGAAGTGTGAGAAGGGAAGGGGGGTCCCCCACCTGTTCCATAGGGAGACCCTTACCTTTATACATGAACAAATGGGGACATGGAAAACCACAGGAGATGACAGGTTTCAGATGTTACAATACTTGATGTATATGTATGTATATGTATATGTATGTATATATATATCTTCAGAATAGCTATTGGTTTCAAAAGTACAAATAATTTTGTTTTAGAGCAAGTTGAAAACTGAAGGAAAAAGGTATCCCTTATGAAATATAACTGTGTACTACATTAAAATTTTCATATTTATTTCCACATTTTACATATTTTTTCAAAAGAAACCGTTTTAAGGGTTTTTATTGTATAGGATGTTAGTAACGTTTCTCAGAAGTTAAAGCTTTTAAAGAATGAAATCAGTTCTTGATTTCTTTTTAATCAGTTGTACTAAGAATTTGTTTCTGTTTACCCCAGCAGTTATCGCATGCAGGAATAATGATCAGAGTATGTCCATGGTATAATCCTTCTTGTAAATAAGCAGATATTTAAATGAATGCACTTAAAATAAAGAAAATAAGAGAGCCTTGACTCTATTAGTCATTCCTCTACTCAAGAAATTCCCTTTCTTGTACAGAATACAGAGGGTCTTAATTGCAGCCACAAAGAGCAGGAACAGTAGAGTACATATGAGAAAGGAATTTTGTCTTATCAAATATATAATTTGGGATACAAAGTTTGTTTGTTTATGGTATGTAGGAGATTACTCTTAAAAAAAAAAGTAGCTGTAAACTAGCAGCTATTATGAAGTAGGTAGTGTGTCTGTTACAAGAATTGTCCAGTTGTATTATGTAGTGGCTTGAATGTATATGAAATCATATACTGTACTCTGGTTTTAGAGTTTGCTTATAAGTTTCGCTTGCTGATATGTTGATGTGTTAGTACTATGCTTGGAGGTTTAAACTAGAAGGATAAGGAAGTAATTTATCAGTTACTTTGGACATAAAATTTGTGAACAAAACGTGCATTATTCAAGGAAGATAATCTTGTGCATGCAAATTATAGTTACTGGCTTGTGAATATTATTTTGCACCACATGACCTACAAAAGGTACAAAAGGGAAACAGTTTTATTCTTAATCTGTTAATTAATTCTATTTCACCTGTATGTTTTTACCACTTCAGGGGAGTGAACACATTTTTTCCACATGTTTGCATGTGTGTGCACATGTAATAAAGATACTTTTTACCTGGGAAGGGAGTTTTTGGAGTGCTCTTCTGAGCCCCAGAAGCAGCAGTAAGAGTTATTGAAATATCAGTTAATGGTAACTCCAGTTCACCAGTTAATACTCAACTAGTGAAAATCTAATTAATATAATAAGTTGTAATTTTAGAATGATTTTATCTGTTTTAAGTACATCATCTGTCACCAAATATAATGTAATAGATAAGTGTTTTGTAGTTGGAAGCTCTGAGATTCAAATATTGGTCCTGAAACTTCTTGGATATAAGATTGACATCTGTGTGGTTGTATTAGAACAGTTTCATAATCCTACTCAGTACAGCTAGTTATGCATATAAGTACTGTGTTCAAATCTTCTTTCCAAGAAGGATATTAGCATTAATTAAAAATATACAGGGACATGTTTATGATAGTCTGAATAAAGAAAAAGCTCTGGCACATCTGTCAGAAATAAATGTACCAACACATTTAATGAGAAGTCTGAATCTGTATGAAATTGAAGACTTTTAATCAAGTACTGAGTAGGACAAATTTCAAAACTGATTAGGGCCAGTAAATAAGCAGGACAAGGATGTGGTCTTTCCCTAAGCCCTCTTTAATATGTCAACCAAGTTAGAATGGAAACAAAATGCAAAACATGCATTATCAACAGGTATCAACTGTGATATGTGATTTTATTAAAGAATTGTATGTTCACTTCTGTTCACAGAATGTCGGACTGGAGAAGTACGAGTAACTCAGGGTCATAATCTGCCAGCACGATATGTGATCCATACTGTTGGCCCAAAGTATAACCTAAAATACCAGACGGCAGCAGAGAATACCCTACATTTCTGCTATAGGTCAGTAACTTAATTCTAGAAATGTAAAGGGCATTAAAAGAAGAGGGAGAATATCATTACCCCTATTATATATAGTGGTGGGTACATCTGTTATGAAAATTTGTAATTTTATTCAACATATTTTGGTTTGATACATTATAGACTGTAGTTCACTTACATATTTATGCATCATAGTCTGTGAGTCCAGTTGTTATAGGATATTCATAACTGTGTTATGCCTTTAGAAGAGAAACATATTCATGTCACTGTAAACTGAACTGAAAATGTTCAGATATACAGTAGCTATGATAAATGACAGTGATGTTTTGACCCTGTGCAGTTTGGTATGGGGTTACCAGCATTTTTAAGAAATCTGTTGCTTTCATCTTCTGGGTAGAGGTTTGTCTATCAGCCTACATGTTGTGATGACTGAGATAACCATAATTTTAATTTCACATATGTGAAAGTCTCATATTTAATAAATTCTTAGGTCCTGACAAAGACCACAGGTTGGCAGCAGCTGTACTGGCAATAGTCTGTGACTGTATGCCTGAGCATCGTAATAGATTGAAGGTAGTGGTCATTCACCCAAAGGGAAGAACATAGGTTAAATTGGCCATTTTTTCTTGGCATTTTTGGGGACAGCCACTCTGAAGTCAGTGATGGGAATCAGAGAAGGTATATGCCATTTACTGTTGCATAATACACCATATAGTCATCTTTTTTATGCAGGGTGTTATTGGACAGTATGAATAAAACAGGTATTTAATGGTTCAAGTCATTTGTAATCAGTCTCAGTTGATTGGCTACACTGTAGCCCATTGCTATGCTGACCGAGCTATCCTGGTTACGTGTTATTCAGATTAATTTATTTAACAAATCAGAGACAAAATCATTTTGGGACATAAGTCTTATTGTGGGGATTACCCCCCCCCCCAATTGGTGATGAATCGTCACTTTTACATAGGTTGAGGATGTCTGAGAACAAGGTGCTGAGGAGAATATTTGAGCTTGAGAAGGTAGAAGTAACAGGAGGTTGGTGACTGAATAACCGGTAGCTTCATAATCCATATTCTTCATAAAATATTATTAAGGCGATCAATTGAAAGAGGATGAGATTGGTAAGTCATGTAGTGCACATGGAGGAGAGGAAAACTACATATAAAATTTTAGACAGTAATCCTGATGAGAAGATAAACAATTTGAATATTGCATAATTTTATGTATAGTGATGTAAGACTGTTTTTTTATATAAATTTAACACATGTTTTTTAATCTATTTTAATGATTATAAACTGTGCATATATATTTATATTTGTATTGTACTATATTAATTATGTGACTGGTTCTATATCTATGTATATGGATTTATGGAATATACAATAAATGAATGAATGAAAGAAACCAGTAAGGAGGAACTTTGGTATGGATGGGAGGATAATATTAGAATTTACTGTGTAGACTGAATTAAGCTGTCACTGCAGACTGGTATGAACACTTACCGAATTTTTGGATTCCATAAAAGGCTCTGCTTCATGGAGTTTAATTGGCTACCTGTAACAAGGGGACTTATTATAACATACATGAAGTAAAAGACATTTATTTATCCAATACAAAACGTGCAGTTTCTTACAAAGCCTTAAGAAGTATATTATCTGTACTTTTAAAAAAGAATAACATGGCTGGCTGCCTCTCATACTAAAATATATTTCTCTTTGTCCCTGTATATTGCTCACCATGTGTTTCTTTGTATTAATTTCTGATTCAGAGAATGCTTGCATTTGTATGTGCTAGCTCCTCGGTCTTTCTGCAAACATTCAAGTATATATTTCAAACCCCTGAAATATAGTGAGCTCTGTATGTAACTGTTAATGATTCAAACCTCCTCTGTCTTCGTCCTCGTGAAGTGGTATTTAATAAATTTATTATGTATCATAGAGAAATTGTAATCTTTAATGTTGTTAAGTACCTCCATTTCTACTGCTTCCTTTTCTTCTACCAGTGTTTACATTTTATACAGGTGGACTGTCAGAAAGTCTCCAGTATCTATTTTCTTCTCACAATCCTTCCTCTTTAATTTTACCAGCTCTTTCTCCTCTTGTTGTCTTCCAATACCTGGCTGAGCCAACTTGGTCTTTTTAAATTTTAATTATAATGCTCTTCTCAGTATTATTTTTATGTGGTCATACCATTATAATGATTCATATTGTAGTTTTATGGGCAGTGGTATTATTTTGTCTGGCAAGTTAGTACTACATGTAGTACTCCCTAAGACGACTGACCCCTGTTACTCCCTTTAGTCGACTGACTCCTGTTACTCCCTTTTGATGACTGACTGCTCTGGAGAGGCAGAAGTCCTGACGGTTCTGGGAACGCACGGTTTCCTCTCCTCTGAAATTTAGCTGATTGGCTGAACCTAAAATTTGGGTGTTTCCTCATTTACATTCAGCCAATCCCTAACAAGATCCATGTTAATTTTGGCCTAAGTACAAGACGGTCCTTCTGACAGCTCTCAAATAAATGAAGGTACACTAACAATTGTACGGTACGCCCCTTTGAATATTGTTGTGACTCGTATCTGTCAAGTCTCAAATTTTCAAAAACTTGTACTCCCCAAGTTAAGCATTGAAATTCCCAGAAAACGCAGCGGGGTACTTCCTGATCTGTTTTGGGTTTTCCAGTGACCTGCAGCTTGCTTGTCCCTCAGAAAGACCAGATATTATCCTTGGCGCCTGCTGGTGCTGGAGTCAATTGTGTTTCATCTTTTATTAACAGTAATACAGTTTGTTTACTTGTAGTACATTGTAATTAAGCATGTAAATTAACAACATTGCTGAGGTTCCTGCATGGTGCGGTTACAGATCATTGTGTAGTTGCTTATTTCATGGTCATTGCCTAGCAGTGGGTCTACATGCCACGTTGCTCTCCCCTTAAGGCCACAGGCTAAATTGTTCTCAGTTGGTTCTATCTTTCTGTTATTAATAGTAAAGTTACTAGCCGTGTGGAATTGGTTTTATGCTACCTTTGATTTCAAAGTCGGTCACATTTCTGTACTGTAAGAACTTGAAGTGTAATTTACTTCAGAAACAAAATATTGTAACTAGGGAATGGGTAGTTTCCATCCATCATATACTGAAACATCTTATCTTGATTATTACGTATTCCAGGAATGTTCTACAAAAGGCTTGTGAGCTGAATTTATCTACAGTTGCATTGTGTGTTATCAACTCAGTCCGGAGGAACTTCCCTCCAGATGAAGGTGCACACATAGCATTGCGTACGTATTCTACTTCAGTAAGATATATTATGAATATTGTTTGTGCAGATTACTGTGTTTTGGGATGTAACACCATGTAGTCTGGGAGATTGCAGTGAGAAATTCAAATCCAACATTATCGAATTAATTTGCTTCACTTTAACATACAGTTGATTCAGAGAGTATCTTGAGAAGAAGCAAGACAGGGTTTGAAGTAAAAATCATGTGTCAGAGATTTTTAATAAGATAAGACTGAAATCATGCATCAACATCTTAAAGTTTACAGTTAGGTAAAAAAAATAGTTCTTTGCAAATTGCACTGCAGTATCAGAGTTATTATTTTGGTTCAAAGCTTGGTTATTTCAGCAGTAACAAATCTAACTTCTGTTTGGGAGTTACATACTTCCAAATACCAAATGAGTACAAGCTGCTGTGACTTAAAAGTGTTATGATTGCTGTAACTTCAGTTCATCCAAGAAAATAATCAGATAAATCTCGAAACAGGCTGTGATATTTGCCTCTCATATCCATTCCAATCTATCTGTTAAAGTAAAGCTGAAATTCAAGTATGATGAATGTCATTATGAGATGCTTAATTGAAAATATTGTCATGTGTAAGGTCGTACGCTTGACAGCTTGACAAGAATGGTGGGTTCTAGTTTGGATGATTGGATTTATTAGCAGTTTGGTTACAACCTTTCTTAATCACATTTACTACAGGCAATACAGTGCTATCGCTGATGTACACACTCCAAGTATTACACATAAATGAAGCCTTCTAATCACACAGCAAGTCTTCACATTGGTCGCGCCATAGCTCAAGCGGTTAGTCACTGGCTTCCCACTGCGGTGGCCTGGGTTCGATCCCGGGTCTGGTCAAGTGGGATTTGTGGTGGACAAAGTGGAGCGGGGGCAGGTTTTCTCTGAGTACTTCAGTTCCCCCTGCCAGTCTTCATTCCACCAGTTGCTCCACAATCACCCTCACCTATCATCTGGGGCTGGTACAATAGGCCAGAAGTGGCTGCAGTACAAGGGACTTAGTCCCACCCCACTAGAAAGTAAAAAAAAGTCTTCACATGATGAACTTTCTGTGGTCATCTTCCACTGAGAACTCAGAATTCAGAACTCAGAACTTTGTCACTGTCACTTAAAAACTGAAACTTGATATGTCTGTAACTCTTGTTCTATAGTCTCCACACTGACCATGCAGAAAACACCGCTTCTGTTGTTGAAACATGTTTACTGAACCAGTGCATAGCAATCTAAGTTTAAATGACTCAAAGTTCTGAAAACTGAAAGCATTTCTTCATTTCCTTCCTGTTGTTGAAATGTCAATATCATGTGGAGTATATGTTGCACCATCACTGAGATGTTTTCAATTTACTCATTGTTCTTGCAAGCATTTTTCTTTCAGTGCATTGGTATTCTTATTTTTTTTTTGTGCTTTGATGTAACTGCAAGTCCTCTCCCTGTCTTCATGCATTACCTCACTCAGAACTCTCTTTTCAATTTCTTTAGTAGTGATAGACAGCCTCGAAACATTTTGACATGCTTTTTTTTGGTTGCGATATATTCCAAATCAGTTATATGGAATTTAAGTCACAGTTATTAGGAGGAAGCCACAGTACTGTAAGCCCTTCTGCCTGTAAAACCTTGTGAGTATTGTAATTAGGCTGGGGTGTATGTTTTTCTGTAATCTATAGACATCCTTTTTTGGTTAAATCTGTATCCAAAGAAATGTTTTGTCATGATTGGCGTCAGCATGACAACCCACTACATGAATTAGCTCTCCAACAGTGAGATTTTTGTGAGAAAATGTAATCTTTGGTTCCTCCAGAAGCTCACAGGATTCTGTCTGACTTCATGTCTGTGTATATGTTACCCATTCCAACTCTTGAACCAGTTGACTGATTTTCAAGAAATTTTGTTTGTGGATTATGGCATTAGAGGCCACTATGTCATGCTTTTTGAATATTACAGTCTCCTGGGATGTGACACTATATAGTCACAGAATGCAGTAGTCATCATAGTCATTGCATTGGGGATCTCAAATCTGGCATGTCACACTTTTAATTTCTTGCAACTGATAAAAAAGCACTGTGGCAAATGTATGGTTTTGGAGGTGGGAGAGCAACACTTAACCACTTAATCCAGGATCCTCACATGAATCATCTTCATAAGTATGATACAGAAAGAATTAAGTTGTGAATGCTATTACAGGCACTGTGCGGAGGTTTCTGGAGCGGCACCTCAATGCTTTGGACTTAGTGGTTTTCGCAGTGGAGAACATTGATATAGGAATCTATGAAGTGTTGCTCCCGTTGTACTTCCCCCGATCATTACAAGAGGAGGAAACAGCTTTATGGCAGTTGCCTGCCAGTGTTGGGGGTCCTGATGGTGAACCTCTGCTACCGGATCGACAAATTCGCATCATTGATAACCCTCAACACTCATTAGATGGTGAGTTTCTAATACATATTAGTACAGTTCAGTTCCATGACTATGGTACACTATATATACCATGTCCTGTTATTCAATTGTTATACTTCATTTATTTATATTTTAAAGTTTAATTATAAGAAGCTATTTTTCTGTTATCAGTTGAGTGATTGTTATCACAGCATGCATCATTGCTGTCAGTAGATTTTCAGAGATGACACGATCATCAGATGTGTTCGCAGTTCTCAAATTTCACACAGAGTTAGTGAAGAATGTTTAGTGGGAACTACAGGAAGTTACATAAATTAGTTGTGTGCATAAGAAGAAATGTCTGGGCATACCAAAGAGACAGAGAACAAAAACATATTGTGACATGGCAGCCGAAGCCAGAATTGTGGAGCCAGAAGAGATGGCTGTTGCTAGGCAATGGCTCTGTAAACACGTTTCTACAGCAACCAGATCACATGACTGCAGCAACAGATACACAACAATAGAGGAACTATTGGAAGCAGTGTTTCCTATGTGGTCTGTGATGAGGTTATGTAAGGAGAAGTAACTGGAGCGTTCAGTTGCTTTAGTTGTAAATGACACATCTGTCCTCTTGTCAGAGAGAGCACCCCACATCAACAAACCTGCAACTCTCTGACTAATAAAAATGTGGTCTTGGGTCCCAGATTGGAGCTTGACACTAAGACAGACTGGTCAACTGACCATTGGTCGTAACATGACTTTGACTTTTGAGTTGCAGTTAGGGAGGGTCCATGTAGAGGTGAGTTTGAATAGCTCCAGCATAGCCCTGTGAGTTGTGGGGGGGGACAAAAAGGGAACCCGGTGCCTGGGGCTGTAACTAGACCACCCTGTTCCTTGGGTATATAAATTTGGGGACCTGATCATTCATGTTGGTAGAGTTTTGAATCTGAGACTGTCAAATATGGTTATGAGTCCCATGGGACTTGTACCCGAGAATGACTCCTCTTATGAGGGCCAGCAGCAATTGTAAATGACAGACCTGTCCTCTTGTCAGAGAGGGTGCCCCACATCAGTGTGCCCGCAGCTGCCTGACAGTAACAAAAATCTAGTCCTGGGCCCAAGAAACGAGCTTGAAACCAAGACAGACTGGCTGACTAGCTGTGACTTTGGCTTTAATTTTGATTTTGATTTAGTGAGATGAGAATTGATTGCTAGCCTATGATACTGCGTGGTAACCAGTGGTGGCCCTACATGGCTAGGCAGTCAGTGGCCAGGAGTTATGGTCATGAGGAGCTATGAGACATTCAGTAGCCAGTAAGGATGTGAGCATGGAAGCTGAGGAATCTACAACATTGGGAGCCATTACCAAGCAATGACTGGTTAAGACACAGCAGACTAACAAGATTTAGTTGCTTGCTTTAGTGAATTGTAGGGTGTGTGAATTCACACATTGCTTTAATTAATTGTAGTTATTGCTTGTAAGAGTCCAATAAACCCAATTACCAATCCACACACCATGTCTAGTCGCTAAATATATGACAATATTATCAGTAAATTCTGTTACTAGGCAGATAACCTAAATACCCTGTATGGGGAGTTCTTAAGAAATGTGTCAACATTAAGCTGTACAAACATCAATAATTATGATTATATGCAGAGCAGAGAAGGCACAGTATTATCTCTGTTGATAAAAATGATGATAGGATTTGTTTCGATGATGAAATGACATTTATTTGTTTCCAATCAGATTAAAGGGATATAATGTTCTTGTATGAGGAAGGAGAAATTCAGAAGCATACCTAAAATTTGTTAGGATAGCTGCATTTTCAGTGTGTTTGTGCTTTTCTCATAAATTTCTTTCATGTTAATAACATGTTGCAGTTACAGTTGGGATTGTGTGAACAGTTTTAATTTCAAACTTGGACTTATTTAACACGTAAGTTTCATATAATTGACCTTGTTCAGAAAGCGGAAAAATGGACACTGCTGTACTGGTCAAGGATGTATATGGAATCATAATAATGAAGTTATGTATTCTTTCAGTAGTGGGAACTCTATGCCAAAGATCTTGCAGTCTACCACTGGTGCCATTGTGATGTGTGTTATACGAGTATATCTGATAGTTTAATCCTGTTGCTGCAATATTCGACTGAAGTCAAACAAGCATACATTACTGTACTGTGCGACATTTGACTTAGCCCATATCAAGAAATAATCATCTTCTTTCACTATGACATTCAACTTCCGTCACGAGGTCATGAAAATGCATTTTTGTTGAATTTTTCATATTTTATCTTAAATTTTCCCTAGTTTAGGAAATTGGTGAGAAAATATGAGGGAAAGTCAAATTATCCACACTTTTGCCATAACACATCTTTAGGTTTGTCACACTGCCTTCTGCGCATGCATGCCTAGAGTTGATACTACTGTGGTCACGTGATTGAAGTTTGACCTTGATCACATCATTTTCCTTGATGCTGTGGCAGTGTAAACATGGCCGCTCCGCTAGCAGTGTGCACCAAGGAGGAACAAAGAACAGTGATCTGATTTCTCGGGTTGGAAGGTGTGTCAGGGGCTGAAATTCATCAGAGGCTTTCAACACAATACGAGGACAATGCTCTACCGCGTAGAAGTGTGTATGAATGGATTGAGAAGTTAGAAGTTGCTGGACAAGAAATTCAAGACTCAGTCTTCCGCGGGAAAGGTCATGCTAACCGCTTTTTGGACTCAAGAGGGCCTATACTGGAAGACTACCTGGAAAAATGCTGTATGATCAACAGTGCAAGATACAGTGATTTGCTGGCCAACAGTCTCAAGCCAGCAATTCTCACCAGACGCTGAGGTGTATTGCTGAAGAAAGTATTGTTGTTGCATGACAATGCACGCTCACACATGGCTGGCCAGACCATTGAAATCATTAACCATTTGGGTTTCAAGGTGCTGGAACACCCTGCCTACAGCCCAGATCTCGCCCCTTCTGACTGTTATCTCTTTGGACCGCTCAAAGATGCTTTATGAGGTCCTCGATTGTAAGTTTAAGAAATGTAGGTGATAACTGAAGTCACTTGTTCCTAGAATTTGTGACTTTTAAAATAGTGGGGATGTTGATGTAAAGGTCATAGCTGTTTACACTTGAGAGCAGGATGCTAAGGAGAATATTTGAGCCAAAGAGGTGTAAGAAGTAACAGGAGGTCAGAGAGAACTGCAAAATAGGAGCCAAATATTGTTAGGCTGATCAAAATAAGAAGGATAAGTTGGGCAGTACAGATAGAGTATGGGAGAGATACATACAGAATTTTAGTTGGAGAACTTGATGGGAAAGATCACTTCAAAGACCTAAGTATTGATGAGAGGATATTATTGAAATGGATCTTGAAGGAATATTGTGTGACAGTGTGGACTGAATTCTTCTAGAAGAGGATACAAATTGTTATAAATGTGGTAATGAGTGTTTGGGTTCCATGAAAGGTGAGGAATTTCTTCACCAGCTGAATGGCTATTAGCTTCTGAAGAAGGACTGGCTTTTAGAATTGTCTGTTAAGATCATTTTGTAGTTATATGTCACATCTGTTCACCTCCATTTTTGACCAAAACTCCTCAAGAAGCCTCCTGTGTACCCTCTTCTTTCACCTGTACTGTCAAGCTGCAGTTCACATTCTCCATACAAATTATCAAGATTTAAATTTTCACCACAGAATATTGTAGCAGTATTGGTATTTATAAATATATGTTTTCTGTCTTAGTAGAGAAACTCAGGTTGCTGGTACATTCATCTTTGAAGCGTGATTGAGTCTTTGGTTGTAAGACATGTCTTAATTACTGAACATTATCACATTATTGAGAAATTGGTGCCTGATTTTGTATCTGGAGCTGGAAATCTTATACTGAACACTTTGTTTTTGTCTAACTGTAGGTGTGAATAATGTAGATTTGGGGTTATTCTTTATTGTCATGCTTTTTGCAGAGCTTTTTACAAGTATTATGCAGCTTTATACATGAGTAGCTACCTTCCTGTTGGAATGAAGTAAGCTTATATCCTGTGGTGTGAAGAGCTTTTGTGTTGCTTCATCAGTTGAACCACACCTGTTTACAGTTGGTGTCATCTGTTTTTTCCTGCTCTTCCTTTCCTCTTCTCTCTGTTTGTTTGTTCTAACTTGTCACTCTGACAAGCAAATCTCTAGCCATCTGAAGTCCGCTGTGTAGCATAACATGTTTGCTTAAGATATTCAGTAGACAGTTTGTGATCACTGCTAATAGAGGAGTGACCCACTTCATGAGAATCATATGACATAGGATATATTGCTTCAGTGTTCATGGGGAGGTAGCCTTTACAGTGATTTATTAAATATATATCTTTGTGAAAATGAATTTGACAGAACATTGTAATAATTGTAAGTATACTTAAGTGACTTCAAGATTCTGATACAGTTTCTGATATATTGAGAATTCTTCAAGTACACTTCTCCATAGCAATTCGAAACCAGCAGACATTTTTATAACCTATTTTAAGCGTGGCAGTTATTGTATGTTCCTCCTGTTTTAATATAAAGACTCTGCATTTTGCCACAGAATGTAGTTATATGTTCCATATGATTTCCTGAAATAGCTTCAGTTAGTTGGTCTTTGTAGTGGAAACACAAAGTGTTCTCTGTGAGACATGAACTGAATTTAGAAATGTTATTTAGAGGAATTTTAGGTTTCAAAGGGATAATTGAATAGGTCACTTGGTTTGAGCTAAATTTTTTATAAATATGAAAGCATGAATTTTGAAATTGCAATGATGTTAAGATCATGGTAATGAGTTGTTCATATTTACAGTTCCCACAGAGGATATTGCCTTTTTATTATGTGCTTTTTACACAAAGGGCATAAAATGAAAGCATAATGGGAAGTTTGTGTTTGTATGAAAATAAGAGGGACTTAACTAGAAAATTTAATTTTGGGTTTCATTGATCTTTACTTACTTTACATGATGACAAAATAAAATTACATGGAGCCCTTAAAAGGTGTCTTCTTGTAAAACACTTGATACATTGTTTACATACTAGAAT